TATTCCCTGTACCCATGGAACTTGTTTATATTGCAATAACACTGCATAACCTGTCACCACATAACTACAAGTTTAGACCGAAATTACCTTCAGCACAGTGTGATTAGGGCGGGAAGGATATGCAAACCAGACATCGTCCAACTCAACTTCTCCATCTTCATCACTGCATTAAATAACCAACAGCTATCATTCTGCTCCTGGAAATTAAAACTAACAGTTCTCTTCTTTTCAAGTACTCATATTTACTCATAAAAATAATAGAATCTGTCATCTCAATAATTAATGAGATAAAGCAAGATGAAAGAACCAATTCTTACTTGCTAGTAACAATAGTCTCTGATGGTTCAAACAGACATAACTATCCGTATTCTAACCTAATTCTCAACAAATTTCAATACCTAACACTAACTGCCATTAAAGAACCATCTTATCTCGTCTCGTCTCGAGGTGATGAGAATGGGATCATTACTTAATAAATGTGTGCAACTTTTACCACTCTCCTTGCCAATACTAGACGGAGTTATGCTGGAACTAGAATAGGGGGAATAGTCCAGGGCTTCCAAAAGTCCTAGTGATAGCCTTCTTTGTTGTCTGGAGTCGAACATAATTCATAAGCATCTAAATCTCCTCACAATCCCTCAAGTTCAGATTAAGATTTCCAGTCCACATGCTATTCTAAATCACCCCCTTCAAAAGTAAAGGGCGAAATTTCATTTTCAATTTAGAAAAAATAAAATAAAATGAGCATACCCAATAGGACACTTATTTCCTGAATTTGTCATTGTTGATACACGATCCAGGAGCTGAAAAACTCGCCTGCTAGCTCCAGCAGCTTTCATGGCCACAGTGTATAATCCCGACAACCCAGATACAGAGGTTCCCACTACAAAGGGAGAGTTGAGTACAGTTAATTTTTTTTATTGTGCCACATGGGAAAGAAAAGCTCCTGAAAACAGAGAAATATTACCTGTTAAACTATAAAGAATGAAAGATGTCAGAGCTCCCGGAGTCATGAACCCTTTGATCGTCAAATTAGCTCCATATATCACAACAATAATAACAGATAAGGTCGATGCTGCATAGAGACCTCCAGAAAACAATCCAACCACTTTCTGTTAAATGATAAGATTGAGAGTAAGAGGTGTGAGCTTGCAGAAAGAAAGACACATGAACAAGCACAAAAAGATATATTTCACTTCAAAATAAACTCACAGCTTGTTTGAGTCCAAGTTCCAATGTCTCCTCGACTTTCTGAGAGTACCGGGATATCTCGTACGATTCTTGAGCAAAAGATCTGACAGTGCGTATGGCACCAAAAGATTCCTAAAATAAAAGCATAACAATGACTTGCTTTTACTTTGGATTTCATCATGAAAGACAATATCCAACTTATTCTCACAATTAACATTTTATATCTAATTATGAAAAGAAAATAAATTAAAATCGTGCCGTGAAGTTATACCTCAGCAATTGAAGCACAGACAGCAGCAGCTGCTTGTGTCTTGTGAGAAAGCTCACGAAGATAGCGACCAAATTTACGAACAGCCACAGAAATGACAGGAACAACAACCAAAGCCAATACTAGAAATGATAGACAAGATAAAACAATGAGCACGTTGGGACCCTAGAACTTGCATTTTAAATGCTTCAATGTTCGAATTCTTACATGTCAACTTCCAAGAAGTTGAAAACATGAAGGTCAGCCCAATTAATGCAGTTGATAGATTTCTTAGGGCCTCGGAAAGATTGGTAGTTGCGGCACTCTTAATGATTTGGGTATCCTCAGATAGCCTACTAAGAAGTTCTCCTGTTCGAGTAATGTCAAAGAAGGCTATTTCCTACAAAATTCATCAATCGTTCCAGAGAACTTTCTCATGCTAAAAATAAGGAATATTAAATAGACTTCTTAGTTTTTTCCTCCTCTTTTCATGGGGGTTACCTGATTAAGAAGATGAGTGAACAGATTCTTCCTTAAGCGAGCAACAACCCTCTCACTAGCAGAAGAAAATAACCAAGCTCGAATAGCTGAGCACACCGAACTGAAAATCACATTATTTTTCATGAGCGAGTGCACATAATATTTCTGAGATGGCATAATACTGGATCACAGAATATGTTTAAAATAAAATTGTATACGGAAAATCTCATGAAGCAGATCCCAATTCACAAGCTGAGCTATTAGTCTCCAATTCTAACAGGTTTAGGATTTAGCAAGCATAATGCACGGCAGTTCTATGTACGAGATAATGATTTCACATAACTTAAGTCTTAAAAAGTCAAAATGATCATACCCAACTAAGACGATCGATGTGATGTATACAATGGTGTTTGTGACTTCCTTTAGAGCTTTGCTTTTCTGTTCAGGTGTGTCAATATCTCCAGATACAATGTCAATGATCTTTCCCCCAAATTTCGGCTACAGAATCAACATTTCAAAGAGTATAATAAAGTGGCCATAAGTTAAATTTCAATAAACTTGACGTGGAAGAGATAGATTAATGCACAAAAATATGCATACTATCAATAAACTTGACGTGGAAGCAATCAGAAGAGCAATGGTAGCAATTATCAATTTCCCCACTTCAGGCTTTGCCTGCAAATACAATTCAGATGTTGAGAACTTCAAAGATTTTGACAGCAAAATTCATAGCTTCTGCCAACACAGCACCAATTCACTTACAAGTGAAAGTACTCTGCCAAATCCCACATTTGCAGGCTGAAATTCCAAGCATAATTAACATCAGGAAACAACTAGTTAAGTGAATAATCATTCAATCATAATCTTCACTTCAGTGAAAAGCTAACAAACAAGAACATTACCGGTACAGCATCCCCATGTTCCAGGTCTGTTAACTGACGATCTTCTGATGTGCCAAGGCCCTTTCGCCCTCCCTGTAAAAAAACAAAGAAACCGATATGAAAATCAATTAATAATTTATTCATCCATTCCAAGTTCACGAAGAAGTACCAAAAGCAACCCTTGAAACTAAAAGCAAGCACAGCCGAAGCACTGTAAAATCCCATAACAGAAACCAGAGGAAGTAATTCTAAAAAGCATTTCATTCACATGGGACCAATTCATTTTTCAGGAGCACCATGGAAATGAAAATAGTTTACCCCACGATCAAGCAGCGGAACTCTCTGGCTTCCCATGCCCCTCATGGTTACAAGACTTGAGGAAACGAGAACCGGCGGATGAGGGGTGCGATTAAAGTCAAATTTTTGGGAAGTTTTATGCTCCGAAGACAAAAACCAAAGGGCCCAAGTGACAGATTTTGAATTTTATATAATTCTCTGCTGACAAAACTTGTGGAGAAGTTTGCGAGGCCACTTAAATGGGTGGCGGTGAGATGCCCAATTCCTTCTCTTCCTCTCCGTGAATTGATCCTGGGAAGGAGACAAACCCCTTTTCTTTCTTAAATCACATTGTTCGATTTTTTCAGTGAAGGGTGTGTGTTGGTGTATTCTAATTTTATACTCAAGCTTCGTATTTTCGTTCGGCCAGGAAGTCGAATAAAATATTTGAAATCTATTTTTCTGCCTCGATTAACCAATTAAAATTTTAAAACCATTATCTATCAGACGACAAAAGGTTCTAAATTTAATATATTTTTTTTTTTGGTAAACATGTTCTTCATTGTTCAAAATCAATTTTATGCTATGAAAACGTCTATTAGAGTGTACAATCGAATACAAGCATTTTTTAAACTAATTTTATACCTAACCAATGAGATTTTTAAACCTTTTAAAATTACTTTGAAACCTGTCATCTTTGAAAGGTATTTCTTCCCATTATTTATTTTAAATATTAAACTTATAAAAATTATGTATGTCATGATTTATTTTCACGAGAGCTCAGTCAAGTTTCAATATAAAATAATATTTGTTAGACAACTTTGTTTAAGAAAACAAAAAGTAATTTTCTTCACATATTTTCTTTTTGTTCATCGGATAGTATATTAATTTTAAATTAAAAAATATATTAATTAAAGTTGAGTTATATTCCTCATTAATGATATGGAAGTTGAGTTTTGATTGGACTCCATTTTCAAACAAATAGAAGAGTCAAATTCTCTCTAAATTGTGCAACCAAAAAGCAATGACACCTCAGACATACATGAGTTTTAAGTTGGTATAGTGGTCCAAAATCGGTTTCCATTGAATTTTAGTTCAATCCAATAATTTTCTTCAACCTATGTTAATTTTTCTTCTATTTAGGTCCCGTTCTAATTGAATCTAGGATTATTTTGGAGTCATGAATTGTAAGTGCACATTTAGGAAAGAAACTTTTGAAGCAAAAGACATTTATGAAGCATTTCTTAAAGAATGAGTTTATATTCATCAAATTGTTAATAATTATGATTAAAAAGAAAAAAAAAAAAAAAAAAAAAAAAAA